TAGCATACAATAAATTACATTGCATGTCAATTTTTCCAATATTATTATTTATAAACAAATTTTCATCTTACAATGTTTTAGAGTTAATATACTCGTATTTGAAAATGAGAGTTTTTTTTTATAAATTTTAAATACCTCGTTGCCTCACAAGAACTGTATATTATGGGAAATAGAGATTTATATATATGTAAATAGTGATAAATTCTTCTCCGTCTTTCGAAAGAACTCATTGCTAAAAATGTTTAAACAATAATTTCTCACCGCTTCATCGGTTATACCGTTACATGAATAGTATTGCCGTCGTCATATTAGCTGAACAATTTTTTTTTTTTGATTTTGATGTCTTCAGATTCTGTTCTGTACGTCATTTATTAAGTGACATGTACGAATCAATATTTTTATTTCTTTGATTTCCTTAATTAATTTTGAATTATTAAATTTAGTTGATTTTTAATTTGGTTTTTTAAAAAAATATTATGACAAAAAAATTTATTCAATTTCAAAAATTATTATTTATATTTGAAATTATTATATTGCATTTCATTACTGTGCAGATCAATATGTTAAGAAAATTTAATAAAATATATTTATATAAAGATTTATACAAATCAAATATGTAAGTAATTTAAACCATTATTTAATTTGTAAATTCAAAAATAATTGCATTTTTTTTATATACATATAAATGTGTGTTTAATTGAATAATTCGAATATAATAAATTTAATTATAAAAAATGTTTATAATTGTTGGTATAGAATTTTGTATATTAAGAATTCTATTCGTACGAGTAACAGCAGAATTTATTTAATTTTTTTTTATATTTATAATAAAATTAGTTTAAATAATTCATTATTGCAACTACATTATATATGTTGTATAACAATTATACGAATTTTATTTGAATTTCATATATGAAATCCTTGAATTTAATATAAAAAATACATACAAATTAAATATATGTGAGTAAAATTAAGAAAATTTTAGTAAAAAATTATAAAAATATTTCCGATTTTAAGAGATGTTTAAACTATTTAATTTTCCAGTTTTGAAATAAATTAAAAAAACTAATTTAAATGATTATACTGGGACAAATAAAAAGAAATAAATAAAAATAAATTTAATTAAAATTAAAATAATTTTTTAAAATGAAAATTTGATTTTAAAAATTAAAAGAAAAATATTCAGCTTTTGTAATTTCTTTTATAATTTTTTAGTACACAAAGAACTTGATAATGTTATTTATTTTTTTTTTATATTTTAAAATTTTTAATTAATTATAATTATACTTAGTCTTATTTATCACACTTTTATTTAATAAATAATTTATATTTTAATGATTTTAATTACATTTTATACACAATTAAAGAAAAAAACTTTTAATTGAACAAAAAAATTAAAACTTTAACTAAAACTAAAACAAAAAAAATTGCATGAAATTTAAAAATAAAAATAAAAGGATTAACAATTATTATTTGTACTATACTTAAAGGATTCAATATTGTTATACTTAATGCGAAAATATTGAATGATCGTCTCAAATAACAAAAGTAAACTAAAAAAAAAAAATATAAAAATGAATTTTCTCTTCTAATTTAATTTTCTGTTTTCTATTTTTGTATTTACTTAATATTACTTAGCTAACTGAGGGCAATTATAACTGAGGTATTGAAGTCTACTAATTCTATATATAAATTAAATATACGAGTACCTATTTGTTTTTTCTTTTCTTTTTGTTTTTTTATTTTAATCTTTCCACCTCTCATATAACTTTTATAATAACTTTCATTTGCTTTCAATAAATCTTTAAATTGCTAACATAGTTCTAACTATCTATCTGTATTTATGATATAGTATGTATGTAATATTAAGAGATTACTTATCTATTGTTATAAGAATCCTAAAAGGTTTAAACTTTTAGAAAATAATTGTATTGGTGTACTAAATAGAATAAATGCAATAAATGTAATTGGTTTTTGTAAATGTTTGTGAACATAAATAATTTATATAATTTTTCTCTTATAAAAACTAATTTATAATATTTTTATTACATTTATATTCAATATTTTTAAAATACATATGTATATTCAACAACAAGTTTTATAATAATTAAAAAAAAAAAATTATAAGAGAAGGGATTAGAAGAATTTTAATTTAAAAAAATTAAAATACATAAAATCTAAATAAATATTAAACTGAATATACATAAAATATAGAAAGTATAGAGAAAGAAAATTATTCTCGTAGACATTCTAGAGATTTTCGTCATTCAATTTAGACTGTATAAAAATTGTATTATATTCTATTGTATTATAAAACTTCCTCAGTCAAATCTAGCTATTATAAATGTGATTAAAGAATAAAACACAAAAGCACCTTTCAAAATTAGATCTAATAGCGGTTTTTTAATGGTTGTTTTTTTTTAATTTATGGAAATACACGCGTTTTATTGTATAATTAAACAATAATTTTTTTTTTTATTGAATTGCAAAATTTATAATAGAATCGCTTTATAGTATTGTACGCATATATAAATAATATTACAGTACAGTTGAATCAATTTTAGAAAATTTATGATGATAAAAAACTAAAAACAATCCGAAATAGGATCAATTATTGTTTTTTAAAGTTATACTAAACAAAATAATATTTTTTGCTAACAATGATGATGTTATAAATAGAAATAATATTATATGTGTAGCAAATATAGCGAAAACATTTTATTTACTGGAACACAAACTTTTTTATTTTAAATAAAAAAAATTACTAAAACTCAAATTTTATTTTAAAAAAAAATTACAAAAATTGTACAAAAAGACGTGTTGGGACCATTATAATACAAAATTGACAATTATTGATATTTTACGTCTAAACAAAATTTTGCTTCAAATATATTGTTGTCATAATACTAGATACATACATAGATTGAAAGCGTTCTTTTTATATTCTTACATTATGCAATAATATTAGTAATTAATTTTTTAACTACTATACTTCCAGCACTATTTTAATTTTAGTAAATATAATTTAATTGCAATTAGTTTTAAATATTAAATGTATGATTAACTGTACTATATATTGTATACAACTGAAGAAAAGGATTGCCATACTTAAAATAAATTTAATATAAAATTTATGCTTAACTTGACTCCTTAAATTTCGAATAAATGTAAAATATTTTAAAGATTTCAATATATCATAGTTTTACTGCCATTCTAACTTAAATTATTTTTGTCTTTCACTTAAATTTTCTTAAAAAAAATACTCATAATACTTTTTAAATTTTTAACTAATATCTTTTAATTGATTCGAAAAATTTATCAATTTTAATTTATATACATAAAATTATATTTTATATGAATATTTCAAATAAATATTCAATTATATACAAAAATTTATTCTTTTTTTTTTACTAAAATGATTTATGTAAACAAAATAAGAAAAAATAAAAAATTAATTTATTAAAAATGAAATTAAAAAGTAATTATGAGATTTCATTTGTAATTTTTAAAGAATTTTATTTATTTTTGTAATTAATATTTTTTTGTAAACAGTTTGTTCAGGAAATAAAGTCATTGAATTTATATGTACAGAGTAAATGTTTAAACGATTTTAAAAACAAATATTCTTATAACTTGTTATTTTACAAGTTTTATTTATTTATCATATTAGATTTATTGATTAAATTTATTGTTTAATAAATATGGTACTTTTTTCTATATTGTTTATAAATACAAATATGGAGGTTATCCAATTCAGAAGGATATTTTAAAGTAGACTTGAATGTTGTCAGGATATTATGTGTAAAACAAAATCCAACTAAACTTTATATTAGAACTTGTGATTTAATTTAAACAGCATAGTCAGCATAAAATAAAAAATTTTTTGGTATGCTTCAAGTTTACTACTTTTAAGTGACTAAAATTTAAAAAATTGGAATAAATCAAAAAATTCAATTTCTCAGTTTCGATACTATTAAAATCTTTAAAAATTTATTTAACGACTACATAAAAAACCTCAAAGTGGACTTGAAAATAGCCCATTGTATCACCTTAATTAAACCAATGCGAATTTCATATTTCTTTTGGTTTAAACTGAAAACCGTTCTCTTATACAATTTTCTTTAAATTGATTTTTTTTTTGAGTAAACGTACTTTTCTTGGGAGGGTCACAAAAAATTTTTGAGCTTGAGATTAATTAAAATTTCTACAATTATAATAATTTTTACAAGTTTTATTATATAGTAATATTTACGTCACGTCAATTCCATTAATACTAATTTTTAGTTGTAATAAAGATTAATATGTCGATAAAAATTCGTTTATATCATTTCTAATAAATCTAAGTGAATATAATATAAATAATAAATATGAATTTTATGCAATTTAATTAAATTATTCATTTATGTTTGAAGGATTATAAGAAAATTATTATTCTTACAAGAAAAACTATGGCTAGATATTCTTAGAAAAACCTCAAACTTTTAATAATAAAAATGCACACCTTAATTTTCGTGTTACAAAAAAAGAAACAAAATCGATTTACGTCAATTTCATATTCATTCGTTATAAAATACTTACATATATGAACTTGTAAAATTTTCATTACCTACGTATTTTGAAAATTTATTTATGAAGTTTAAAGGATAAATATTTTATTATCCTTACGCAAGTATTAATTTATTATAAAAGCATTGTAAATTTATCAATAAGTACGAAAGGAACACCTAATTGTATTTCAAGTATTAGAAAAAAAATAGATAACAAATGATTACCGTATTTTCTAAAATTTCGTTTAAAAATTAAGAATCAAACTAGGAATTTGAAATCCTTTGAATCTCATCGCTAGAACCATAGTAACATTAAAAAGTGTGTAAGTATGTACTTAAATAACTTCTGAATATGGTATTGTCTTTATCTGTATTTCTATTATATGTTTGCTAAACTTTCTCCAAATACAATACTGAGATTTCTAGTTCTTAAGAAAAAATTTTTAAACTAACCTGAGTCCAAATATAAATTGGATTTGTTGTTGCTCTATAAACTTCAAGTTTAGGTTTACCATCTTCAGTGATCTGTCTGACATATGGTACAGCTTGTCTTATATTTTGACTTTTCTTACTGCCTAATTCATCCATTTCAAAAAATCTATGACTAAAAATTTTAACACTTAATTAGTATTTTGTCTTTGTAATTAATTTTAATATATTTTACCTCTTTCTTGACTCCATACTAATTGATCGTTGATTTTGAAAACTTTTTCTTGTCTCAACATAATCTTCTTCTTCTTCTTCACTTAAATCTAAATCTCTTAAATCGATAACAATAGGTTTTGTTATATCCCTTGGCTTATGATGATGATGTTTATGTATTAAAGTTTTCTTTTCACCATCTGGTCCAATAATTTCTTCTTCTTCTTCACTAGATGTACTTGATGTACCAAGTAATGCTTTTTCCAATTTAAAACTAACTCTTGGATCTAAACTTTGATGTTTTCTATTTTGAAAATCACGACGTTTATTCTTAAAATTTTCTTCTTCTGATGAATCATTAAGTAAATCTTCCAATATATTTGCTGTACCTTTAACATCCAATGAAACATGTTTTTTGGATTGAAATTGTCTACGATTATCATAAGCTAAATTATGAATATCCTGTTAATGATAAAAAATAAAATTACAATTTAAATTAAAATTAATTGCTTTTCAGCTAAGCATTATCAAAACAAACCTTTAATATCCCTTTATGGTCAACACTTGTTGTTCTCTGTTGTTGGAATAAATCACGTTTATCTTCAAAGCTATCTTCGTCATCACTACTATCTTGTTGTTGTTTTTGAAATGATACTCTTGAACCTTTTAATGATTGTTTTGATGAACTTTTTTGGTTACTGGTGAAATTATCACTTTCAAAACTTTCATTTTGTCGAAATTTTGTTGAAGGTTCTGGTCTTGGTCTTTTCGATGACGGTTGTTGTTGTTGCTGTGTTGGCTTCCCAGTTGAAGGTGGAGGCAATGGAACAAATGGTGGTTCATTAAAGCCATCATCACCTTCACGTTCCGGTGTAAAACGTAAATCATTATCATCAAATGGATTACGTAATATATCTAACGGTGGCTGTTGCTGTTGTTGCTGCGTTTGTTGTTGTGATTGTTGACGTTGTTGTGGATTTTGTGTTAACAAATTATCATCCAATGATAGTAAATCTACTGAAGTACTTGTTAAATTCCCACCGGTAGAATCATCTACTTCATTTCCACTAACACGTTGATAACTCCCTCTGGTTGATTCGTCGTCCTTTAAAAAAGTTTAAAAAAAAGTGTAAGCACTAATTAATAAATAAATAGTAAATTTTTAAAAATACTATTTTTTATTTCATTTAAAATATTTACTGTTAAATTTTTTTTTCTTTTTTTGTTGTTTAAGGAAATCAAAGTGGATATCGGTATTTTTCCTAAACAAGTATAATTTATTAGTTTTTGTTTACCTTTTTCTATGCGAGTTTGACAAGTTAAATACTTCTCAGACAAAGGCCTTCAAAAATATTTTTGAAAAAATGTTTAAATATGTACATAGGTACATAAATTAGCAAAAAACGTAAAAACGTAAATAAAAGAAACTAAAACACGTGATCAAACCAACAAAATAAAATTTAAGCGATAAATATTTCAAGATTGTTAGTGCAACGAACTAAAAATTATCGCTTATAAAACTGCCGATGAATAATTATTAGATGTTGTTTTCTAGAAGAGATGTTGTTGCTCTTCTATTGTTGTTAGTTTTTAATTTTGGAATTTAAATGATGAATGTAAAAAATAACGTACCTACATATCTAATTTAGGCAGTGATTCTAATATTTGCAGATTGCAGAGCCAAAAAAGAGAAAAATAAATTGTAATGTTGCTGTCAAAAAACATGTAGTATTGATTTTTATTCAATTTTTAGAATGAACATATAATTTTGAGCTGGCAACGCCGGTACCAGATTTTAATACATAAAATTTTGTGGAATGTCAAAACGAAAATTTCAGTTGGCGGCAGTAAAATTGATGATTTTTTAAAAGTAATGTTATAATTTTTGAAAAATTGAAAAGAAATTGTGGTATAATAAGCTGAGAAACAAATAATTTATGTTTTAAATAAAAAGATTGAATAAAATATCTTAAAAACAGCATTAGGAGGATAAGCCCAGACGCTTATTAAAAGGCAATGGAATTTTACAAATGGATATTCTTAAATTTTATGGTAAATATGGCTTGGATTTAAATACTCTTTGGTTTGGTTATCTTTTTAGCTCAGTTTCGTTTACTTAACAAAAGTTACTTATGTATGTACTTATACGATTTAAGCTTAATATTGCCATTTTGCATGATTTTAAAAAAATTAAAGAACCTACATAGAAACTATAACTACTAATTCTACTAATAAAATCAAGCATATGTATGTACATATGCAGTTGAAAAATAATTGCGATTTAAAATTAGATAATTAAAGCTAAGATGTGAACTTAATGAAATTCAAATTTAGAATTTTAATAAACTTTCAAAATATCATCACTGAATAATTCATGATGAATGCTTATTTGTAAGCTTAATTGATATTTTCATTATATGTACATTATAACAAAATGTAAATGAATATTTAATATTACAATTCACGAAATAAAACTTGATCAGATAAAATTAAATTAAGTATTAAGTAATTAATTATTTAATAATAGTTATATAAGTATGTATTTATCAATTTGAAATCGAAAATCTAGAAAAAAATTCAATTACTAGTTTACATTGTTATGTAATTGGTAATAGATTACGATTAAAAAAATTAATTAAAAGTTCAATATGTCAATTGTTAAGTATATGTACTTAAAATAAGAAAAATTTGGTAATATTCAATTTTATGAGTCAGATAAATTCTACCATAACATTTTCTTAGAATTTAAGCCATTTTTAAAATAGTCTTCAATACCAAAGAAATTTAGTTTAATAACACATAGGTATTTGCCGAATTACAAAGATCAAAAAATCAAATGATAATTTTATAGAAATTATAACTTTATAGGGTATGAAATGAAGTCTAGACCTTTGAATATTACATTTTGAATAATATTAGTTGCTAACAATGTAGAATTAATTAAAATATTCAAAATATAATATCGGCTAAACAGGCACAAATATCTGCAATTTTGACAAACTAACGCTGTATTATAAGTAAGTTTAAAAATTGAAAGTCATTGCTATCTTAATTTGTTAATTTTAAAAGCATTTACTTTTTAATTATGCTTTTTGTTTTTTTATCAATGTCATTTAAAATTTTAATTTTTAATATAAATATTATAATAAGTGTAATATTATGAATTGTTTGAGTTATTCAATTTTTATTTTTCAAATTATAAGAAATGTTCTAATTTATATTAAAGCACGTATTAGCACGCATTTTAATATTGTAAAATAGTATTAAATTTAAATAATTTGTAATATTATTTTGATATTTTAAATTATATATCTAAATTATTTTGTAATTTTTTGAATTTATTTAAAAGAAATAGTTATTTATCTGATATAATTGTTTAGATAATCTAAAAGAATACACGTTTCAATTTGAAAAAAGCCGGAAACTAATTTATAATGATAAGTTAGTATGATACTAGTTTATTTTTCTACTCAAGATGCACATTCAATGTGTCGTAGCTCTTATAAAATTATTAGAAAAGAATGAAGAATTTTAATTTGCATTTATTTTTATATTTAAGTTGAGTTATATTATAGTGGATATTGCATTGCAAGCTTTTTAAACATGTAAATTTACTAAATTTTAATTTTGATTTGCCGACAACAAAAAGCCGGTAAAATCATCATTGAGAAAAGTTTTAGGAAATTAAAAAAAATTATTGTTTTTTTATTTTCTTTCTATATTTTACATAGAAAAAAAAAAATAAGAAAATAATCAGTTTTGTAAATTAGTTTTTTTTATATTATTAAATTTTAATTATAAAATTCTTAAATTTATTTTTTGAAATTTATAGATGACTACAAAGTTTTTGTATTACTTATAATTCTACAAGTATTAATATAATTGCAAAAATAAAGGCAATGTAAACGTTTCTGAAAAACGTTTTTGAAATTTTTGCAATAAGTTTTTCAGAAAATATTTTTTGTTAAAATTCCAAATTAAATAAATTTATTTACGATGTTTTTAATTAACTTGTTTTTCTATGTAAATATGAGAAAACTGACTTTCAAAATAAACAACATTTTTAGTCAATAAAAATATTAATAAAGCTATTATCTTAGTGGATCATTAATAATAAATTATTCTTTTTTTGAATAAACAAATTAATTAATTTTTAAGAGAAAATTTTAGCACAAAAAAATTTTGTTTTTAAGAGAGTATTCAAAATTTAAATTTCGTATGAATTTTCATATATGAACGCATAAGTGAAAATATTATGAAACTTCTACTTTCTGCATAACTAAAAAAAAAATTATTTTATGAATTAGAAAGAGAGACTCTAAAAAATCGTTCTCTTAAATTAATTATACGATCAAAGAGAAACTTTTTATTAAGAGAACAGCAATATTCGCTAATGTGTTAAAACTCTTTAGTACACTGAATTTGCATAATTTAAAATAAAATTAAATTAAATAATAGGACTTAAATCTTTGAAATTAAATAAAAAAAATTTTTTTTTTCAAATTTATTATTAAGCGTAATGAATTTATAAAAGAATTTTTAAATTATAATATGTATGTACGTATACATAGTTTTGAAACAAAGCAAATTAATATTTTAATTAAAAATGACATTTCTTTTTATAAAATGCTTTCTATAAATGTGTACACAATTTGTATTTAACGAATATTAATTATTTTCACGTTCATTGACACGAATATTTTTGTTAAATCAGTGATTCTAAATAAATATTTTCTTAATAAAATTTTGGAATGAGTCGCAAATTGTGTGTTTTTTTTTGTATAACACATGCAATTTTATCTATAGTAAGAGGGACTTTTAGCAATTTTTTCAATGTGGAATTTTTGGATATTTCACTTACGACAATTCACAATTAATTTAATTGATTTATCTTGAATACTAAGTGTCAACGACTTCAATGATAATGGAATCACAGCTTGTAGCAAATGCACGTGAATATTCTTTATTTTTCAAACATAGTACATATAGGATTTCTATAGTATTCTAATTTTGTTTATAATTTAGTTACTATTGCATATGCTTAATGCCAATTAATTTTTTGTGTTATAATAACAATAGGAAAATATTGAAAATCACTGTTAGAAATTTTACAAGAATTTTAATTATTATGTTTATTATACTTTGAATAAATGTATTAATTAAGAAAAAAATTAACAAGAAATTAATTAAATAGGAAATTAAAAATCATTTAATTTTCTTGTTCATTTTTTTTAAATAAACTTTATAGAATGTATTATGTAATTCTATATTACTTGGTCAAATTTCTATATTAAATTTAATATTAAAAATAATATTAACCAGAATATGTGCACTTAATTTATAATTAACGTGTTTAAATATTGTAATATGACGAAGTAAATTTAATATTATATGCAATTCTGAATGTCAAGTGTATAAGTTTAGTTACATTAAATATATTATAATAAAAAATACATATATGTACATATATATTATATTAAATAATAAAAAAAATTTAAATCTTTATGACTGCAAATAGTTTATCAGTTTAATTATGTGTTGCGGGAATACTAGTAAAATATTTAAGTACTTTTTCAGTGATATCGTTTTTTTCTTTTTATATACTTATATACTTGTAATACAACCATATGTATTTAAAATTACTAAAATTTTCATAATGTTTTATAACCATTGATAAAATAGTAAAATTATGTATAAAAAAAAAAACAAAAGTATGTACATAAACTTTAGATTAAAAAATAATAGAACGGTAAACATGTGCTATAATTTTTTTCTACTTTTACGGTATTTTTCTCACGTATTAATTTTATTAAAAATTATAGCAGCAAATCATGTATACATTTACTTAATTTATAGTTAATTCAGTTGCTCTTTATTTTTTTAATTCCAACTTATTTCAAATTTATATTTGAAATTACAGTTTAATATTAAAAAAAATTAAATCTATATAGTTAATATTAGTTTAAATTGTCGATAATATTGCACCATAGCAGTTGAGAGTACTTCAATTTTACGAGTAATAGTCTCTTTCATTACATAAACTATAAAATTAAATAAAAATTATTAATTGCATTTATTAAATTTTTACATTTTAGAATTTAATCATTTGCAGAATTTTAAAAAATATTATACTTTTAATTATATTGAATTTTTAAAATTTTATTTTAGATCAAGTTCTTCTAATTTTATGCATTAACGGAAACAAAATTTTATGCATTATATTCAATTAAAAGAAATTTTCATATTTTTCAATTTAATAATTGATTTAAATAAAAATCTAATTTGAAATTTAATGTACTAACGTCATATTTTCTTGTTTTATATATACTTTTGCCTTGAAAATTTTGCTTATAGTATTTTGTTTACTTTTTAAAAATTAATAGCTTGTAATTGAATTTTAATTTTATTCACCTGATTTTGATTTGCAATAAGTAATAATAAATTTAATTTTTCTGTATACATTTAAGTATAAAGTAAAATTTTAATTTCATATATGAAATACATTTAATCAAAATAATTCAGTTAGTGTAGCATAACATTGAGTTTTTCAGAATTAATAATAAATTTAAATTAGTAAATCAGAGTATTACTCATTTTAAAAATTATGCAAAAATTTAAGACAAACCGGCTTTCAATGTTTAAATTTATGTTTTATGCAAATTAAATCAATAGCAAATTAAAATTGTATTTGAGAAATAAGAAATTGTGAATTATATAAAAAAAAAAATAAATTTAAATAGTTTCAGAAATCTTACTTATAATATCTAATTTTTAAGTATATAGATATATTTCAATTTTTACAATTTTCTATATAATTATTCTGAATATCTACAAAATTTTCTGATTATGACTAATTTTTCTTATATTTTATTTCTATGTATAATTATTATCATTTTAAAATAAATTTTGTCTCGACTAGTAAATTTTAATTGTCTGAAGGGAATCTTTTAAATTACATATAGTAATTATTTAAATAGAAAAAGAGGAATTTTAAGGTAATTATTTGCCAACATTGCGATGACGTTCGACATTCTTAAAAAAAAAAGGGCAAATAAATAAGTAATGAATAATGAATCAAATATTTTTTTTAGGTCACTTGCGACTAAGGTTAAATACAACAAAATAGTCAACAATACAAGTATGAAGTCGGTACAAATAATATTGCCAATTTTAATTAAATTAAACAAAAAAAGAAAAATAGTTTTTTTTTTAGATTTTCTTAAAATGTTTTTAATAGAGCGGGAAAAATTTTTTTGGCACGCTTTTATTAAAACGAGATTTATAAGTATAACTATTTATGTAGAACAAATTTATTTTTAATGTTACCATGTTATTCTAATTAAATAACAAAGTTCGGGGTAAAACTAAAAAACGTGCTTCAATTTTTTTTGGAAATTTAATTGAAATAATTAATATATTTTCTATTTTACTGTATTTCTAAGGTTAACTCCTCTTAACTACTGATTGCAATTGAAATATAATTTATTATCAATTTCCATGATGTTAATTTTTTAAATTATAAATATTTTACGCAATCAATCAATCAATAGACTTTTAAGATTAGACGGCAATATTATGAATTGTGACTAATTATTCCAATTTTTAAGTCCATTCAACTCAGAGTTTTTGAATTTCTTAATATTTGGAATCACAATTTAAACAAATTATATTTTAAATATTTTTCATATGATTAATTTGTTTTTTTTTTGCATTTTGGACTTTATGAAATTTCAATTTTTCTAAATTTTGTCTCTACAATTCTAAAGATTCAGGAATTTTTAAATATTTTGTTACTATGTAAATATATTTCAATAATATTATTAACTTTCATTTCCAACAAAACTTATAAAAATTATTATATTTAATTTAAAGCATATTATATGATTTATAATATTAAAAAAGTGTTATACTTACAACACCCAATATTTTATCCTTAATTTTCCCCACCGAATTACCACTCATTTTGAAAATTTAATTATTAAAATTTCTTTTTTCAATATTTATTTAGATTCAGTCTTGTTTTTTTTTTTTGCAATTTTCAATATTTTTTGTAGTTATTTTTAAATTTTTTTAACAAAGTTTTCTTAATTCTTGAATACAAATTGTAACGTCAATGTTGATTTATTTTAATTTCAATTAATTTTTATATTTATTTTTCAACAACTTGCAAATGATTTTAAAATAAATATAACCTTTAAAAGAAAAAAAAAATAATAAAGAAATAAGAACAAAAGTTTTTAAATTCTAATTAAATTGTTTTATAAAAATTCATTCAAAATATTCAAAATTTCAATTTAAATGTCAATTAGAAATTATGCACATATGTGTTATACTAGTTATTTTGTGGAACAGTAGTGTAGATAAGAATATTTTATTAAATAAATATAATTTATTAAAAATTTTTTTTACTATTTAAATTTTTAAATTAAAATTTAAAATTTCATATATTAAAATTGCTATTAAAATAATGATGTTAACGATTTAAAATATAAAAGTGTACTAAATAGAGAAGTCAAAAATTTTTTAGAAAAAGAAAAATTAATTTTAGAAATTTTTCAATGTTAATTATTGTGTAAAATGTATGCTAAGTAGCGCGAAAATAAAAGTTTTTCAAATTTCATCCTTCAACTTGACAATGAGCGCAAAGAGTAATAAAAAATTTTTTTTTTTTTTAAATTAAGAAAAAAAATACAAAAAGTTTTTTCGTTTTACGTAATTCAAAATGGAAAAAACAAATCAAATTACGAGTATAAAATTAAAATAAAATTTAAAATTAAGTTATGCAAAAATTAAAAAATAAAATTCATTCATAAATTTATTTTGTTATATTTTTATATTCGATTAACATTCATTTTGGTAATTTTTGTAATACTTAATTGTTATAATAATAAAGTTGTTGAGTTCTTTTTACGTTATAAGAGGATCTGATAGAGGATCTGATCATTGTTAAGAGCATTTTATCAAAGGTTTGAGGTTCATTTTACGTTATTAAGTCGGAGTCATCCTATCTAGACGTAAAAAGAACGCTACAATTTTTATTTATAATTTAAAATTAATTAAATTATTAAATGATTTTGTTAATAAATTTTTAGAATAATTTATAATATTAATTAAGTTATTTATTATGTAAATATATAGTTGAGCTTTTAAATTATTACTAAGTTTATAAAATAATTTTATTCAGACTCTTAATTGTAAATATTGATTTTAGTTTTTATTTTTATATTTATAAAATGAAAATTATATAATAAAAGAGGGTGTGTCTAAATTTAAATAAAATATTTGTTTTAAAATTTAAAAGTTTTGTTGCTAATGAACTTGTCAATTTTAAATATTAATCTTATAATAATTTTTTTTTTAAATTATTTTTTTTTTGAATAATTTAATTTAAAAGTTGTATAATTAAGATTAAAAATTGTAATACTCGTATATATATGTATAAGTACTTGATAATTATTGAAAATATTGAAAAGGAATTGTCTCAATAAGAAAATTTAGTATTATTCAATTTCTGTAACAAATTAATATTATTACTATCGTAATATCGTAAATATTTTATTCAATTGCGATATAGTAATTTTTATGTAAATTTAGTATTTAAAATTTTTAATTTCGTTTTTAGTTTTAGTTGTAAATTTAATTTAATGCTTTTATAATTTTATTATTCATATGGAAATGCGCTTGGAAATAAAAAATATGAACCGATTAATTTCGGAAAGTATCATTATTTTACTTTTAAAAATAATTTGTTTAAAATAATAAACAATTCAAATTGCTCTTTAATAGTAAAAATATTAATATAATTTAACACACGTATATAATTAATTCTTAGTCTAACTTTCATATTATAAAATTTAATATTTATGAGTTTATCAGACCTGTGAAATTTTTAATATTAATATTTACTTATTATTCAAATTTGTAATTTTTATTAATTTTAAGTTTTTAATTTAATTTACTTATTCAGTTTATATTTTTTACTTTTAGGTTCATCTCGCTAGCTACCAACAACACCGCAAACGTATTAGTATAAGCTAAAATTTGTATTATCAATAAAAATAAATTTTTATGGTATTATATTTTAAATACTTGAAATTTTCAATATTCTACTTTTAGAATTAATTGTAAAATTTTTTTTTTAATTTTCTTAACTAGAATTAATAATATTTAATATTGTTAAACAGTTATAACACGATAGGAGTTTATAAACCGATTGATAAATATTTGAAAATATATAAATATTTTATATCAAATATTTATTAAAACTTAATATTTATATGTTAGTACTTATATAGTTATACATATGTATAAGAAGAATAAGAAAAATATATTGTATGAAAATTTACGATATACAATTAATTAGATTTGTATGTGTAAATATGTGTATATGTATGTTTATGTAAATAACATTTTTAGCCACACGAGCTTACGTACTTTTTGTTACTTTGGACCTTAAATTTAAAACATTTTTGTGAAGGCCATATGTTTGCAAATCTATATATATATATATATATATATAAAACTTTATTAAAACTTATTTGTATCTTCAATATAGATACATATATAATAAAAATATGTATATATATAAAATTTAGAAAATACAATAGAACGAAATAAATGATCAATCAATTGATCAATCGATCGATACTCGCTATATATACAAATTAATTAATAAAACAAACAAAACTATTTAGAAAATAAATTAAATTTTATTGAAAACTATTTTTAAAAATAAAATTTTTTACTATTTTATTGAATGAAGATATTCCTGTTTTTTTTTTGTTATTCTTTGGTTTTTTTTTGTATATAATTAAAAAAGAGTATATGTAAAAGTATGATGAATTTTGAAAGGGTAGTATAGTAAAATAAGAATAGTAAAAATATTTCATTACTTGTTATACAGGAAAATTTACTACTACATTTTATTAAAACATATATGATTTTTCAATAATATTAAAATTAATTGATTAGTATAAATTCTCATCATAGAGTATTATACAAGTCTTAAAAAATTCTGACCTATATAATGAAATTTTCATGAGATTTTGATAGTTTTAAATGAATGTATTATACCGTACAAATCATAATTTATTTTCGGAATTTTAAAAATTGAAATTAGTTTTGAAAATTATAAAGCAATTATAGTAAGGTTTCTAATGCATGAATCGTGTTGCTTATGAAATTTTTATTAAATTAAGGAATAAAATGTTTAATTTTCACGATATCTTGCGTTATCGTGTACACTTATGTATATCGTTATGTATTTTTATTCTATACAAAAGATGTATTACATATAACGAAATTTTTGACCACATTGTATCCGATTTAACATACATGTTACATTGAAAATATAAATCTCTTATAATTTATTGCTAATTTTTTTTACAAAACCAAAAGAAAAACTAAATTGATATGTCAATTAAATCATTATTTGTATTTGATTAACGTGAATTTCGTTTGTAGTTACTAATATATATATACACGGTTACACATCGCCTTTATAATTAATAAATTTAATTAATCGGATAAAAAACTTAACTTAATGATAAAAATTTAATGTGAACAATAGAATTCTAATAAATTTTTTGTTCTTTACCCTCAAAAGGTCAACATTGAATTTTCTGAAAGTAATATTCGAACTCTGGTATAACGTCAATGAATTTTCTTTGATGGAGTAAATAATTTTCATTAAATAAAATTCATTAACACATTTTTATGTCTTAAGGTCTGTTTTTAATTAATGTGTATTCTCTAGGGTTAAATACAAATATCCGATCATATACATATTATATATTTATTTGTATTTTCAACATATATACATATATATAAATAAAATTTTATAAATTTTTAATTCATTATTATTTTTTAAAAAAACAGTTCAAGTTAATAATTTTATAAGTAATTAAATATGTATGTAAATACAATTACTATAAAATTAGTAGATTATACATTATTAAATTTAATGGTTAGTATATAACTTTAGGTATTTACATATTTAATTATTTTAATTAAATAGTTTTTAATATTGTTTATGATTAATTATAATACAATTGAAGCTTATATATACATATATATATATACATATTTTATATAAATCAAAAGCTCAATGTCAAGATTTCATTTTTCACAAATTCTAAATATTAAAGAATATAATATGCAAATTCTTTTCAAAATTTTTATTGTAATTATAATTATAAGTTTGCAATATACACAAAATATATGCACTCAACAACATTCATTAAAATTTTATATAACACTTAAGGTGTATTAAATAATTATAAAAATTGTTAATCCCTTTAGAAATCAGGACAAAAAAAATATAAAAATTAATATATTAGTATTTTTGTGCGCTTTTATATCACCATATTTACATTTTACACAATAAATTAATTTTTATTTAAAATTTAATTTATTTATATATATACATATTTATATAATATGAATATAAAATATTTTATTTAAAAATCTGAAAATTTTCCATTACAAAATTTCTCTAACTTTCATGTTTTTCTTTTTATTGTTTTTTTTGGTTCTAAAAATATTTTACTTAATTTTTGTTTTTTTAAATGCACTAATGAATTTTTGCTTTCAACAATATTTGTACATTGTAAAATAAAATATTTTTTAAAAAATATATTTTAAAATAATTTTTTTTACAATTCACCACTGTCACAGTAAATTTATAAAAATTTTATAATTTGAAACAAAAAAAAAATTTGCTTGTTTGAATAAACGGTATTTTTTTATTTATTAAACCGTTATATTTTTCGAAAATACAGAAAAAAAGAGTGAATAAACTGTTATACACTTTGTTCCGCAATATTTTATTTATGAAAATCAAGTAATTTTAGATTTTAAAATTTTTAAATAATTTTATTTATTAAATTTAATTTTAAATAGATTTTTTGTTATTCACCATAATTTTTCATAAAATTTTAATTAACAGTTTACAAAATCAAAAAAAAAAATTATTAATTTTTTTTTTTATTTATAATTTTTTAATTAAATATAATTTTTAAATTTTAATTAACTAAAACGAATAAGTACAAATAGCAAAAAATAATTAAAAAAAAATTTTCTCAAATTCTTTTTCTTTTTGAATAACTTTTAATTTCGTTATTTACTTTTTTTTTAATTTATTTTTTTTTCACAGAAAATATATATCACCTCATTTCTCAATAATTCAGCTGCAAATGACAGCAAAATATGAATTGATCACATTTTATATATTGAAAATAAAAAAAAAAATATACAACGAAAAAAACAAAAAAAAAATTTTTTTAACAAAAAATTCTCTGTGAATAAAAATTAACACAAAACTAAAAATGCACAACCAATAAATAAAGAGCATTTCGTAAATTTTCTTGATATTCTCATTATATGCATATACGACTGCATATACAAATATTAAATTTTTACAATATCTATGTTCAATACATTAGCCTACATCTATATACGCGAATGAGTTGATATATTAAGTGTTATACTTAGATATTAAGATAAAAATACACTTTTTTAAGTTTCACCGTTGTTGCAATGCACTAAAATATAGTGAGATAGTAATATAAACAAATACTTATGCACACCACATATATTAAGTATAACTGTATAAGTACTATAATTTAGTAACACAAATTTTTATACAAAAATTAAATAAAGAGTATAATAAAACAAAATAACAAGAAAACAAAAAATATATTTTGAGAAAACAGACAAAAAATGAGAAAAAAAATACATAAGAAAAAAAAATTTAAAATAAAGAGAAATTTAAATTAATTAATAATTTTATTTTGAATGTATTTTGATGTTTGTGTGTACATATATGAATTTTTAATTTATGCTTTACTAAATAATTAAATAATAATTTTATAAAAGTTTTTAAAAGAAATATTATTTGTATATGAATTATAAGAATTAATATAGAAAAAAACTCAATAAATAATTTAATTATTTATTTACTTTAATTTTTATGTAATATCGTATGTACATTTTAAGTACTGGTAATTATCATAAAAAAACAAAATTTATTCGAAAAAAATTACTTTTATTATAGAATATTACAATTTTATTATTTTGTTTTTTTTATTTATTTTTAGGTGGTTTTATAATACATATACAATAGATAAAGAACTGTTAGATAATATAGAAGAGTTTTAAGACTGTTAAAAGCCGTTTAAGGGATCACGATCATTAAAATTATGGAAAACCAAGCGGGAATTTATTTGTAAGTGTTTTTGTAAAATTTTTAAGCGTTTATACATATTTTATAGTTGTATTTGCTATTTACATATGTTTTGAAGGGATTAATAAATCGAAAAGTCAAGCAATATTTTTTTTGCCGAAATAGTCCGATTATTGCAATATCGAACTAATTGAAAAAATTTATGGGATTGAAACGCTCTTTTTCTTAACAAGCCTTTTTTTTGCAACAACATTTTTGCAAGCCTGTCCAATTGTTAGAAATTTATTTTTCAACATGATTTATTAAAAAGTGCTTTATTTTCTTATTGCATTTCATATTTCATCCGAATTTCAAATGAAAATAGTAATATTTCTACACATACATACATATACTTTATATTTAAAAATACTATTTATATTTGAGATTTTATTATTAATATTTTATCGTTTTTTATTTTGTATTTATTTTTACATCTCAATTTACGATCACTGTACGTCATCAAAATGTGAAAAAAATTTACAATGTGCTTTTTTAAAATTTCGTGAATTGAAAGTGAAATTAAATAATAATGTTCACATTAAATTTTCTATGTATACCAGATATACTGATTTAATTGCATTTTATTATTGCGAAATTGATTATTTTTTTTTATAATTGTTTTTTTATAATTATAATGATATCATAGTTAACAAAATTTATGCATGCAGGCACGCAAAATGTTGTCTATGCCTATAAAATGATACTGTGATATTTCAATAATTTAGGTTTTAAGATTTTTGATTAAAAAATTATTATAACGACATTTTTACGATATAAGAAAACTGTCATTTTTTTTAATGAAATTATGTATTAGAATTATTGATAGTACAAAGAAAAATTGCAGCGTAATTCAAAATTAGGTATTATTATCATTAGGCAACAGTAGGACCATATAAATATGTGTACGAAAACTGCTTGGGTAAACTGCATTATGAAATCGATGAATATTACGGTAAAGTGACAGGTATATTCAAAATAGCAAATACCTCAAAATAATTTTGTTATTACCGTTAAGTAATCCTTTAAAAATTTTTGCATGAAAGTAGTTTTTTTAGAATTTTATTTTAATAAAATTTCATTAGTGTCATATTAAAAGAATGACGTTTTGAATTTTATTTGTGTCTTCATCATTGCGTTCTCGCCAATCCTTACGTAATATAGGTCAATGCTTTTAATATAAAAATAAAATAAATTAATTTTTTTTTTGCGTAAATTCAAATTATTATTTTTTTTAATGAAAATACTGCAAAAATTGTGGTCTATAATCACCCAAGAATTTGTTTACAAAAATTTAAAAATGTTATTAAAAGATTTTCATTGTTTAAATTTGCAAAAATAAAATAAATTTGTATTTAAATAATTTTGGCTTTCTGCCTACAACTGCTATAATTAAAAAAAAAAACAACTTATTATTAATAAGTTTTTGTCAAAATCTAAAAATAATTTAAATAAAATATTCGACTTTTGCTATGTTTTTAAACAAATTGAATGCACACATTACATACCTACAGGTATTTTTAAAATTGTCAAAAATTTCACAAAAATAAATAATAAACTTTGTACTTTTAGGAAAAGGAAAATAATATTGGCAGAAAAAATTCTTGACGAAATAATTGCGAAGATTCTGAAATAAATTTTTTTGTGCTGTTCTTATTCATAGTGTATTTAGAATTACGGCGCAAATAATTTATTCTTCAACGGGAATGAGTAATATTTTGGTAGTATAGTATTAACATTCCATTTACCTACACAATTTCATTTTTAATTTAGTCGATTATTTTGACACATTGAACTATAATCAATCATTTAAAATTACAATAGCATATTTTGTCAAATTTTGACATTCGATTTTTAAATAAATTTCGATGTATACATGTATTTCGATGTTTTCAATGCTTTTAACCTGTAAACGTTTGCAGTTACGAGTATATGTTTTTGTGTAGAAAAAAATGTAATTTATAAAATTGGGCTAAATAAAATTATAAAAATTATATAAAGGAAACATTATTTGCATAATTTTTTATATAAACTTGTTAATATTTGACATTCAAAATGCCCGAATTGTCTTTTCAAAAAAAATTCATTGATTATTATTGAGTTCGTTATCGGCTCAAAAATATTGTTGCCAACTTATTTTAAAAATGAATTGTTGATTCGAAAACTCGTTGTTGAGTCAAAAATTTCGTCCTTAACTTAAGAAAAATTTTTGTTTACATGCAAGTCTTTTGATTAATATTACAATTTGCGAATTTCTTTTTTATAAAATTCAATAGTGTTTCCTCTGTATAACAATTTTCTAACAGTGTACATGTTATATTATATTTATTTCAAATTTAATCTACTGCATTTACTGTAAGGTTATACCACAAATATACTATGATTGTGATTTAATTTTCTATATTCTTCTCTTTTATATTATATAACATAAAAATAATTGATAGCATCATTTGGTTATAGTTATCAATAAAATAATTATTAATGACGACACTCCAATATGAATAAATTGATTCATTATTTACTTTATTAGACAATATGTACAGAATTGAGAAGAAAAAAAAATAAATTATCATTACATACATACAAATATGAATTAAAAATCAAACCAAACATAATAAATGCAAGCATAAGCAAAATTACATATGAATAAGTTAAACGCTAAGAGCCTAGCTAGCTGTTATGCATGTAAAAGTATAAATGTTCCATAAGTAAAGAAGCATGTAATTTGATCGAAACGTAAAGTAGAAAATCAAAAACAAACAAAGAAAAAACAGCAGTGGAAAAATACTGAAAATAGTTTTTTTTTTCTTTCTTTCTTTGATTTTCATCTTTGAAAATTTTCCATTCCAAATTTATTCGAATATTGCTATTTTTCATCCTTTTCCTTCTCTTACATTAAAACTCTTATATATTAATATTATGCATGCATATTGAATCACCCTCTCATTTCCTTTCTCTTTCTATCATAATACTGAAGTTATTTTTTATGCTAATGCATAAAGAAATTTTTTATACATTGCAATCGTCTATAGCGGGTATCGTGAATCTAAATATTATTGAATAAAAAACTAAAAACAATTTTTTCATTCAATGATTGCCGTTTTTTGTTTAACATTTTGTTATTTCTCTTTTTGTTTTTTTACTATTTTGGAATCACCTTTTTTAAAAATTTTACTTTCAAATCCTCATTAGTTTCTTTTGAAAAATAATGTGTAAACACACTTACCCATTTAAATTTGTATTTAACGTACCTATAAAATCAAATCAAAATCAGGGTCTCCCCTTCTTCTTAACCCCTTCATTCGTAAAACATTTTCCAAAAACGTAAAACAAACATTTTTTCTTCTGATCGCATCACATCTTCTGAACTTTGAACTGACATAAATCATAAAAGAATAAAATAACAAAAAAACTTCAATTTTTTGTTTTCATATTCCGCCACTTGATAATTATATTTATACATTCATACATCTTCAGAAATCTACTGCATTATATACTTAGAGTGTAGTAAGTTTTGTACATTGAATGTAAAAGTACGTTTGTACATACAAATGTAATTAATTTACTTGTTTCTTACATGATTTTAAACTATAATATATGTATGTATGTATGTACTTGTGTATGTATATTTATGCTTTGAAATATCTCGGTAATTTTCCATTACCAACTCGAATGATGTCTTGTTAGACCTAATACTTTAAAATTGTATTGATAATCTTTAAGAAAAAAAAAATAATTATATGTAGAAACTCCAAAAACAGGTTTGTTGAGTTGTGATGTTTTTGTATTTTTATTTTTAATTTTTGTTTTAACATCAGTTTCGCTTTTTTTTTTTTTTGCTTAACACACAAATCATACAATATACGTTAAAAATATCTTACCATACCATAGCGACATCTATAGCAACAATCATACAATACAATATATTATGATATAAATAGCAATAAATCGCGAATGTATGCTTC